GCGTACAGACGAGCCGCTGCTGACACTAGACGAAGCTCCCAATGGACACGCCCCCCAAGGCGAAGCCCCGCCCACTCCCCAAACTGCTGCCGCCGAGGAGGAGGAGCCTCACATCGTGAACGGCAGCGCCTCTCGCGTCGAAACAGAGCACCTGCCGCAGGTTATTTGTTATTCGGAGGTAATTGACATCCCGAGCTGAGACGGCCGCCTACGCTTCTCCTCATCTCCTCTTCCTTTTCCCACTCCTTCCTCCTTCCTGGACGAAGATCCTGCTTTATCTGCGCAAGGCTGAAACCTCTCTCTAGCCTGTTTTAAAGGAAGCGATTGCAGTATAAATGAAAGAGTCTTAATGTTTGTCTTTCCATCCTCTCGCCTTTTAAGTTGATTTTTTTATTCCATCCTACTCAGCTACACACACATATATAAACACAATATTCAGAGTCGCTGCATGCTGGGGCTTGTATCTTGTGCGCTGCATGTCGTGTATCGTTGCATGGAGCTTTGTGGTGCATGTTTAATCTAGTGTACTTGATATCATAATTATATGATAAGTGCGTTTACATTGATTCTTCGCTCTGCTGGTAGAGAGAAAGAGCAGCATAAACTTCAGTAATGCCACTGAAATGATTTGATTGCACAGATAAATAGCACACATCTTAAGTATTGATAGAAATAAAAGCGCAATATATTGACATCTGATATCGTATCCACACAGCGCTGTGTTTTTGTGCGTTTGCATGTGTGTGTCGTCCTGTAAACACTGCCAAAGATCACAAAACCAAAACTGCACTAATGTACCGTCACAGGGACATTTGGAAACTTTTTGGCTTTTTTTCTGGTTTGTAGGCTGCATGCGTTATACCAAAGACGTCTAGTTTATAGTGGTGTTTCTTTGAGCTGCTTGAGCTTCCTCTCTGCGTTGTGCTATGTAGCAGTGGTGGTGTGTTTGTGACGTCAGACCGGATGCCTCTTGTACGTGTGCGTCACACTGACGGGATTCATTTAGAAATGAAGCAAGCGGCTGTTTGGGATGAGAATGATTTTTAATGTTTTTTATGGGAGTTTCTTCTGCTCATCAAGGCTGCATTTATTTGATCAAATATACAGGAAAAAAATGTAATATTGTGAAATATTATTACTATGTAAAATGCTTTTCTATTTTAATATACATTAAAATCAAATTTATTGCTGTGATCAAAGCTGAATTTCCAGCATCATTACTCCAGTCTTCAGTGTCACATGATCTTCAGAAATCATTCTGATATGCTGATTTATTATCAGTGCTGGAAACAGTTGTGCTGCTTAATATTTTTTTTAAAACTTAAATACTTTTTTTTTCAGGATTCCTTGATGAATAAAATGTTAAAAAGAAGAGCATTTATTTTAAATATAATTTTTTTTCTAACAATATACACTACCATTCAAAAGTTTGGGGTCAGTACATTTTCTTTCTTTTTTTGAAAGAAATTAAAACGTTTATTCAGCAAGGATGTGTTAAATTAAGTGATAGCAGATATTTATATTGTTAGAAAATATTTATATTTTGAATAAATGCTGTTCCTTTTAACTTTTTATTCATCAAAGAATCCTGAAAA